TCTTGGCCAATTAGACGAGTGTGCAGCAAGAAGTCTATTGGTTCAGTTCAAACTTGATCATCCCCACCATGTTACTAGTGACTTTACTACATAATACGTACGGAGTACTTCTTACAAAGGGGTCGAAAATAAATGTACGATAGTCCATCCAAGCGTTATTAGTCAGATACAGAATGATAGTGCTTTTATGGCGATAGTAAATAGATAGTTAGAGTCCATCTATTAACAGTTTATCCAAATTAACCATATTCATTAGCTCGAAGTAAGATAAAAGTAACAAAGCCGCTGGATCCAGGGTTTTCGGATAGCTAAGCTGGCCATGCCAAGAGAATTAATTACTTTTCGCAAGGGCAAATGTACACTTCTGTTCAGCCCCCGACGCAAAGGGTCTTTGGTTGGCTACAAGTGGCTATAGCGGATGGTGTAGCGCAGCATAGGACAAAACAGCAACAACAATAAATAAATAAGTAGATATATTATGGAACCAAGCAATTTATGACAAAGGCATTACTCGAGATGTGCCTTTCACGTCCCCCTGGTGATCTTTGCTGAGCTGACATTGCTAAATGCCCATCTGTAGCGATCAGATTCTATATCAAGGTTCCCTTCCAATGATTGCCACCGCTGCCAGCTTATCTGTTTGTCTTAGAACCACAAAAGCGGCAAGTCATTGCATCTGAATGGTTACATTGCATTTTTAGTGTACCGTTCTGCTGGGACGGCATAGCGAATAGGAATCGTCCATAAGCTTCCACCGAATGTGATGGAAGATATGCCCGTTTCGTGTTGATATACGATCCCGATCTGTAAGAGTTTCCAAAAATCCAGGAAAGTCAGTAATTTACTGTGATTAAGCTACAGTAAAATCAAGGCACATCCTGTTCCTTTTCATCCTCTTGGACAATGAAGTGTGGACAGAGCTTGATCGATTGAGTCGTCGGGCCATTTAGATGTTTTCAAACATAAGACGACGAGCCCTAGATGCGGAGCTCCCGTAAAAAGGCTTCCCAGTATCGCCATACAAGCTGAGGCACGTGCAAACAGTAGATCCACGGCATGAATAGAATGTCTCAACCTCTGGTATGAGATGGGTCGCCACAGATACGTACGCAAGTCGCTGATAGTACGATATGGTTCTCCGGTTCCCAAATGCAGTGACTGTGCCGTTAACACGTGTTAATGCCACGAGGCCACTTTTTCATTGCTGTTTCTAAGTTCTGGTTGCAGAAAGAAGTACACCTCAAAATCGTTCGGAATCACGAAAGCTGTACCTGTAAAACCAATTCGGCAATATGTCCTAATTAACGTCTGCGACTAAGAGTTGTGTCGCATATACTACGGAGCTTTCCTCATTTCCTTTCTCGCGGATCAGACCAATCGGAAGCCTAAATAGCAAAAACCGCCAGAGACTCTCTGGTGGTGGACACAACTCTCCAACAACCTAGGTAGTATGTATGCTACGAGTACGTAGGAATCAATATGCTACGTAGATAGTACGTATGTAAGTTAGTAAATGAACCTATAATTTGACGCAGGGATTATCTTGGAAAGCCTTATAGAACAGTAAGTTAATCACCAATAAGATATCAAAACTTGCCGCGGAGCTGCATTTGCGCAATATGTCCATGTTTGGAAGGTCGTAACATATCTGTGCCACAAATATACCCCACAATTATACTAGAAAAAGTATATCGTGGAAGGAGCGGGTGTGGGCTTGGCACGGGTATACGGGAGCTTATCTCTTCTCTCGGCTTCTAACGCTATGCGTACGGAGTAGGCTAGGACCAGAATAGCATACTACTGCGGTATGGGACAACAATGCAATCAACTACTACTCGATAGGGGGGCAGATGTGAACGCTCAAGGTGGACAATACGGTAATGCTTTTAAGGCTGCTGCTGTTGGAGGTCATGAAAATATCATTCAGCTGCTAATTGAGTTTAAAAGAGGAGCATCAGTATCCCTGTGGCCTTTAGCCAGAGCACCACCATCCCAATCAACTAACTTGCCAAAGCATAGCAAGAAAATGGACAGATTCAACAGGTAATCCAACTGCTAGGATATGTTGCCTAATCAAAATCGGGCAATTTGAAACCCTGGATCTGTAAGGGTTCTCGAAGGATCCAGAGAAGTAGCAATCGATTAGGATTAGACTAACATTAAGCGAGCCGCCACTTTTTCCCGAACCCGTACGCGATATCAATTTTAAATGTCAATTTTCTAACTCCCATATATTTCTCATACAAAAAATTAACTACTGGTACGACTAGGACATTGATTTATTCTATGCCCCATAACGTTACAACCACTGCAGCGAAATTGACGGCGTACGAGTGGTTGAGAAGCTGGGAGCTCCGGCTCAACCGGAGCAGTAATAACCACTTGAGATGCTTCAACCTGACCTTGTATAAGCGCTTGAGCTTCTTCTCTCGTAATGCCTTGCTCAATAGATATCTGTTTTTTAGACCTTTTATGCTTTTGCTTCTCTTTTTCATGCGTTGCTCGAAGATCGTTCACTTCTTTCCGTATAAGTAGGTAGTCATTTTTAGATGATTCGTACGCTTTTGATAAACGTACAAGGGCCTGATCAATAAGTTGATTTAAGCCTCCTACATGCTCATTTATACGCTTTGTTATTGTAGTTGACTGGCGTATAAATTGACGTGTAGTTTGAGGTGTTTGTAAGCAGGATGATTGTGAATTGCTTGATCGACTTGGAGGGGGGGGTTGGTGTCTTTAATTGAATATTAAGCTGTTGAATAACTCGATCCGGATTAAAAGGCACCAATCCGGTAGCTGCGAAGCTATTCCGAATAGTCTGAGCTTTATATGCCACCATACGAGCCTGTGGGAATGCTGTTAAAAAGTCGATTTTATCAATATGGTTAAAACCATGTCTCATCCGCTGTTCAACATGCTGCCCATATTGTTGTTTTAAAACTGCAAAACAGCCAACATTAAGAGGCTGTAAGAGATGAGAAGAATGAGGTGGCATGCAGATTGGGATAATATTATTCTCGGTGCATGTACGGTAAATTCTGGTGTCAAATGACTTCCATAGCCATCAAGAATCAACATTCGATATTTTCCCATTGAACGACCATTAATACAAGGAATGAAATGGGTTTTAAGCCATTCTAGCCCTATTTGATCTGTAGTCTAACCATTATCACTGATATTGATTCTCCAATCATTAGGGAGCTCATCAAACCAGCCTAATCGCACATATTTCTTTGCTTTAAAGATAACGTATGAAGGCAGAGCCCAACCGGTTGAATTTGTTGCTTCAATTGCAGTCACCCATTCTCGAGTGCCAGGCTGTAAATGCTTCGGCCGAGCATATCGATTGCTTCCAGTAATAACTTTTGCAGTTGCGTAGAGTCCCATTGCGAAGCCAGTCTCATCAAAAGTGTTTATATCTTCTGGTAAGATCCCATATTCAGATATAGCAGCTTGTACGCGGTTAAAATGCTCTTTTATTATCTTCGGATCTTCGCATCTAGCACGTCCGTAATTGTATCTCCGAGAATATTTTGAATCGATCTCCGGACGGCGTTTAACCAGGTTGGATACCCAATTCTTACCAACCCGTTGATCACCATGTTGTTGAAGTATATAATTAGCCATTTCTTGCACAAGAGAATGCCGGGGGGGTAGTCCACGTCGATCTAAATCAAGCACCCATTTAATAAGTGATTCCCTCTTTATATTGGGTTAATTTATGCCCATTAGCGCGTACAGGCGATCTTTGTTCAATGCCATGTAGTCGATTCCGGAGAGTTGTACGGGGGATATTGTAAATTCAAGCAGCTTGCGCAACATTTGTGATTTTGCCATTCTGAAAATCGGAAATAGCCAACAAGATTCGGCCTTCTTGCTCAATCAAATCTTTTGAATCTTTTTTGCGAATTGGTGGCATATTGACGCGTTGAAGCATTTGAAATTGATATCGCGTACGGGTTCGGGAAAAAGTGGCGGCTCGCTTGTGGATTACGTTATATCCCYAGATCCTCCATCATAACGTAATCGGTAAGCGAACCACCATTGTAAGCCAGCCGCCAGTTTACATCCGCATACAAAATGACATTTTTCACAGCCTAATAGTCCGACAATCCTTCTAGAAAATGTATGCTGGAAAAGAGATATATAATATAATACACTATAAATAACAACACGTTATATTTTAAAGAAGATCTAACATAATTTGATAAAGATAATGAAAATTACATTGTAATTTTACGTATTTAAAAACCCTCCAGATAATCCAGATAACTTACCTGGAAAGATTAGTATGTTATTGAGTATATGATATAGGCTATTAATGTTAATATATTTATCTCTTTTTTAGCGTACGTCTTCTAAGAATCTTGTTGGATTATTAGGCTGTGAAAAATGTCATTTTGTATGCGGATGTAAACTGGCGGCTGGCTTACAATGGCGGTTCGCTTACCGATTACGTTATCCCTTCCTAGGCCTGTTGGAACTAATTCTTGGCATCGCTAGATACGGATTAGTCGTATCATGGAGCAAATAGCTTCATACAACAAATATCGAGAATTTTCTATAGAAATCGACGCCTAGTTGAGCATTACAAATCAACGTTTCTTGATGCATATCGAGAATATTCGATTGACATCATCTGTCGCTCTCTTTGATCTTGTTTGTATGAGATTTTGTGCATATAAACGATCAAAATCCCCAAGCAGCAATGTCTTGGAGGACGTGCACAAATTCAGATAACAATATAGTCGTATATTTTACATGTTATTCTCTCGCTTCTAGTTGTTGACCGCTTGCCGTAAACGCTCTAGTACGAAAACGGTTCCAATAGGGCCAGCGAGTCACGTGGTCGTCACGTGATCCGTGACAGGTGTTGAACGCCAAGGTGCTCTAAGCCCAATTTGGCGCCTACGGATATTCGGAATCTAAACTAGACGCGCGCTGCGCACGCGGCGGCCCTGAAACGAAAATAGAATGGAAAAGAGAATGGATATATGGAGTCAGGTATATTGAGAAAGTATGTCTACATAGGACGTTTTTCGCCGTCTTTGAGAACGTCTTTCAGAGGGAGAGTCTTCAGGATGTGTCGGGTCAGGGTCAAGTTCGGTGTCCGGCCATGTGACTAGTGTATCATTATCGTCCTCCAAGGCGGTCGTATCTGTATTGTTTGGCATTGAAGGGCCTGATAGATCCACTTTAGACCCGTCCTGGAAGTCAGGAACGGAGGTGGCGTTTTGGTGTCTAGTAGATTTTGATGGTGTGCTTGGTGAAGCTCGTGTTGCCCAGCGATCATGACGTTTTCGTTTGCCAGTTGTTGAAGAGGGGCTGGGTGGTATGGGACTTGGGGTGGTTGGAAGAAAGTGTATATCCTCAGTTAGTATGGCTAGTTGTTGATTTTCTTTCGTGACTCCGAAAATACGGCCTGTGATGAAGATTTGGGTCTGTGGTGTTAAAACAGGGAAATTTGTCCATCGTGATCCATTTTTGAAGTATGCAGTGATTGGGAAGGTTTGAGGCGCTCGAGCAGAGTTATCATAGACTGTTGTTTGAAGTCTGTAGTGTAGTAGTACTGGGCCGTCGTTCAGTTGGCCGCCGCGCTCCATTATCGTTCCAAGAAAGGTAACCGTTGGTTGAGCTGCCTCAGGGCAGTGCATAAAGTATGATTCGGTATCATCTTGGTTTCCGGGATGTCTGGTGATCTTAGCAAGTGTTGGATGGTTGTTCGGGGTATCTTACCGATCAACCGCATGGGCGTGCATGAGAATATGGAAGCCTTGATCTGGTAGAGATGTTGTCAGGAAGGAACCCCAAGCATAAACAAAAACATTCGGTTGGTAGGCATCCGATTTGCCAACCTCAGCGAAAAAGCGGACTACAGTAGGTATATCCTGTAGCTCAACATCGTCGGATTGGATATCCTTTTCAGGAATATGAAGTGAAAGACGAAGTTGTAAGGAAAGTCCCTTTCCAGGTCGTGTCGGATCTTGTTCGACTTCGTCTACAAAGTCCCGTATGTGAAGGATTACGGGGCAGGTTTTATTTGAAGGCATCGGGACAGTTGGATCTCGGTATAGGAAAGCTGATGGATTAAAAAGATCATGTATGGAGCAGTTGTATTAAAGTCTATAGAAGACGAAACTGTGGGGTAGTTAAATTCTGCTGTATCTACCCCTCGATGCGAAGACAGGTTGATGAGTCTATTATCGGACTCAGGTAAATGTGACATGTCTTATAGATAACTCACCGCTAGTTTGGTAGTGTTATACCGTTTTCAGAGAGCAATGCAGTTTAGTGGCTATATTACTCTTGGATTGCCGTATCAGGAGCAGGATAAATGTTCCAATTTGCTAATGGTAGATTTTGATTTTTTTTTAAGGTTTCCGCGATGAAGTGGTTGCGTTGTCGGCTGTTACCGGATCCGTTTCGCTTGTATTTGAAACATGTTGCAGAATGATTCTTTGAATGAAGTTGTTTCTGACGCGCGACGTTATTGCTATCACGAAGCAAACGATCATAAAATTCGAAGTCCGATTCGCCGTTGATCGTTGAGGGAAAGTCCTTTGGGGGAAGGACATTAGGATCTCGTTCATCAACTTCACTGATACTCTGCACAATGACGGTCTCAAGGTAACGTATCATCCGGGCCGCAAAGTTGGCGTCCCCAAGCAGTCGATCACGTAGTGTCGTAAACTCCAGATTTCCACGTACCCAGACCAAGGTATGTAGATGAAGCATACCACGACCATTCGTCTCTACAACACCAAAATAATTGGACACGTCACCAAAGATTCCAGTATTCTCAGAATCGGTAGTAAGAAGTTTGTTTAGAATTGCTTTGCATGTATAATGGAAGAACTGTGCTACTGCGACGGGATTCGATGTCGCCACAGCATGATGAATAGCTGCGGTTGCAGTGGGCATGGCAGTGTTGGAGACATCCATACCAGCGAGAGTAAGAACGAGAGGATTTTGCAGGTCAGAGGGATTGATTGTGAGCCAAAAGGCAGCCATGCCTTCCCGCACTATGAGACCTCGAAGCTCCGCACGCAATTGGAGTTTGTGGAAGAACGACCCTGGGACTTTTACACCAATAGCGGTTACGTTTCGAAGCAGTCGCTGAATAACTGGGTTGTCTACCGGCTGGCCAGCAGAGAGGGCCGTGGTAGCATTCTCCAGTTGTGTAACAGTTACAGTGTTGATATCACGCGTTATCGAGTTCCAATCTGAACGTCTGGAAAGTAAAGCATTCCCTAGAGAAGATCTTCGAAGCTGTATAACATCATACAGTAGATACATGAAAGTCCGATGACGAGCGAATCTGGAAATATCAGCACACGTATGATAGTGCTGAACATCGATACATACCTCCTACTATGATGGCGAAGCGCCCAGTTAGCGAAAGCTGCTATGCTGACTGGTACATTGCGTTCATCTAAATGGCCACCACTTCCTTTGGGAAAGAGTGTAGGAAAGGCGGCAGTGAAGTAATGTGGATCTTTCCAGTGGTTCAGTAGCGTGGCTTTTCCCTGGATTTGGTAGGATATTACAGGTGTTCTTGTATCCTCAGTCTCCGTAAGATCAGATCCTAGTTCCTGAGGCGGACTTCGATTAGCGTCTGGTACTGCGTTCGTAACCAAATTATATAGAGTATGCAATATGCGGGCCTCTGGATTCTGTCGCTCCCCATTGATGTCCGTGGCAACGGATGCTGTAGTTAGGAAGGGAACAGCATCTTGAGTAGAGAAGCCATTCTCGGCCGCTTGCCAGTCATTTTCATAATTACCGTCCTGTAAGTGTACAGTATATCCTTCTCGTTCATGGTGGTCATCGCTATCAAGAAGAATCACAGAATCTTGCAGTTCCGGGGGAATGAAGTCGTCGGGCCACTCGTCAGTGATTGAGTGATTGATTGTCACGTCAGTATAGAGATGGTTATGCTCAACCAGATATTGTAAAGCTGCAAGAACTGCGTGTTTGCGAACAATTAGGAATGGCTTTAGATCATTTTGTGTTGGTGGCCGATGTCCTATCCAGAATACCTTGATCAGATTATGAAGTACAAGCTCAGGACTGGGCAGGATGGAAAGCAGCGGGCCTGGATCTTGAGGTATAACGATGAAATGTCCCCGAACGGCATCGTAATGAAGGGGAGAAGATCGACCTGCGGATCGTAGTTTCAGAACTACGCCAATGGGATGACATCTGGCAATGAGGTATTCTTCAGTCAAAGTGAGGTCTTCAAGAACTTTAGGATAGTGCTGGCAAAAGGTCACGTTGATGTGATTCTTAGCCGAGAACTTCGGGAACGATTCCTGAAGAACGGCCACATAACAGGTCAAGCAGAGATTCCAACCATTCAAACCTCTACCACAATCATCAAGGTGGCTGTTCCATTCTTGTAAAATGGGCTCTTCGTCACGTATCTGACGAATCTTGGAAAGAGGAACGAGCATCCCGCAAATGGAACAAACACCCTGGTGATGGTCGTTACGAATTTCTTTTTCATAGCACGAAATCGATGATCGTATTTGTGATAGAGTGATTTCTGGTGGAAATGCATCTGAAGCTTCTACACGGGACTGATATTCACGGTCTAAAAGGCCAACTGCTTGGTGAATAATCTCGTGAACGGGCTCGTTGGCGTTAGAGGTCTTCTGTTTTTTGGTACCTGGAACTGTACGCGATGCTTGCTGTATTTGGCTTTGAGACGCTGGTAATTCAAATGAGTTCGCATGCGGATCAAAAGAAGAAGGATTAGATCGAATAAAATCCACAGGTTCCTGGATAATTGTGTTTTTTCTAGATCTACAATGAAAGCAACGCTTGACTCCCCGACGAGCAGCGAAAGGCCCGCCACAGTCCAAACAGGGCTGTACATTCGCAAGTTGGAAGGGGCTATCGGCATGGTGCGAAGATTCAAGACACGGCTCGCATCTATTATTTGATGAGTCCGCACGGATGGGAATGCCGCAGTCTGAACAAGGACGTGTTTCAAATAGCAGCGGTGATTGCGATAGTCGACAGGCCGGACAGCGGGGCGGCTGGGTATTCGTTGATATACGAATCTGTCGACCACAATCCTGACAAGAACGACGGCATAACATGACGGGAACGGAGACATAAAGCCTCGCCGAGGAAACAGGGTATATCTAAGATAGAAAAATACAACATGTTCAAGAAGTGCATATGTACGGATTGAGGCGGCGTGCGTGCTAATGGAGGAGATATATCACAAACGACTGAGCCAATGATAACACAGGCAGACTATCTTGAACCCTAAAGCCCTAACGCCAAGACCCTTCTAGGCCCAAAAGGGTTGTTCATTTTCTAGTGTTAGCTTCCGTCAGCGTTTTTGTGTTGGCGCTCTCACACCCACGGTCCTACTCCCTTCCACTCCCTTCGGTCGTTTCAGGGCATTACACAAAATTATCAAAAGAATGCTCGAGAATTGACTTAATTTGAAGCTTTGAAGGCAGATATCTAGAATGTTCTGTCAAACATCGTCACTCATTTTACACACATTCTTTTATGTATAAATCGCACCCAAAAACCCCTTACAAGGATGTCCTGGAGGGTGTGCCAAATGTATTTAACAATATCGAATAATATCCCTTCTTTTGTCGCTTCTCCACCGTACTGCCGTAAGCGCTCTAGTGTAAAAATCGGTCATCAACAGGATCACATTGAAGTCTTGAGCGTAACTAGTCCAGAAGCAATTTTTTCAACCTAATGAGGGCGAAAGGAATAATCACTCATTTACTAAAGTGTACTTGGATACAACAATGACCCAACAGTTGATGGCCTCGGGTAGGAAAGCTAGTTTGTCTTACGTCGAAATACTGTAAAATAAAGATTATGATGTTATCGGTTCGTAACTTTTTGAAAACTATGATTCTCTTTACCACCTAAATTGGTTGTCCCGCATCGCCTTTCACTTGCGGGGCAGTCGTAATATTATGAATAACCTCAATATTACCAGGCTCGTGGGCTTGCTTCGTGTTATAGCTTTGCTTACGTATCCCGTGCTTCGTGATCCGGGATGTAGCTAAACCAACAAATAATAATAGAATCCCCCCTTTACCGTACTACTAAATGCCGTCTGCTCTATATAGCTCGTGACTCCAGATCCAGCAGCTTTGAAAATTCGCCGTCCGATCTGCCCATTAACTCCCACGGCTGCCCCACTTCTACAATTCGACCACTGTCCAGGACAGCGACCCGGTCAAAGTCAAGCAGAGTGCGAATTCGATGTGCTACCATGATCACGGTGCAGTCACGGAACGATTTCCGTATGACCATTTGGACTTTGGCGTCTGTTTCTGTGTCCAGACTACAGCCTTCTGATCAGCATACCACTCAATTGAAATGAATGTAACGAGGGCCAAGAAGGATAAGATATGCCATAAACATACCTACTAGTGGGTTCATCGAGTATCAGAATCTTGCTTTTCTTCAGCAGAGCTCTCGCCAAACAAAAGAGCTGCTTCTGGCCTTGCGATAAGATGCTCTCGTTCAGTTTTGCATCTAGCACCACTTCTCCATTACCTGCGTGATGTGCTACAAGAGCATCCCAGAGTTCGACGCAGCGCAACGCATCGATTATCTCCGTGTACGTCATGATGTTCAGCGGGTCGGCGTTTTGGCGGATGGTACCTGGAAAAAGGAATGCCTCTTGGCTGAGGCAGCTGATGCGTTGTCGGAGGGATGATCGGGATATGAGTGTTACATCTTGTCCGTCAATTAGTATCCGCCCTGATACTACCTCACTGAGACGAAGGAGTGATAGTGCCAGGGTGCTTTTGCCACTGCAGCGTAGTAGTCTGTTTAGCCTTATCTTGCGGTTTATCTTCCAGAAAATACTGTCCTCGAACGTAAGACGGTGACGATGGAATGATAGTGCTCACCTTCCAGTCCTACCACACAGCCCGATTTTCTCCCCGGCACGAATGTGAAGATGAAGGTTGTTCAGTATGGGCCTCGACTCCTCCAGACTACTATACCCGATACTCGTATCTACAAATGCGATCTCCCCATGACTTGGCCATTCCATGAGCGGTTCGTGAGTCTGAATGTTCGAGTTTATATCCTCACTGGGCGTATCTTCAGAAAACTCCTTTATCCGTGAAATCGCCCCAAGTGATGTCTCAAGCAGCGTCCAATATTGAATCAGATCCGACAGTATCTGCCCCAGATCTATCATCATGACGAGGGCAATACCAAGTAGACCCGGGTTGACATGACTGCGAAGGGCGACGGCAGCACTAATGAGTATGACGGCAAGAGCCGCAACAATTAAGTTGAGCACTAGCCCAAGCCAGCGTTGAATGCACAGTAGAAGGTAGAATGGTTTTTGGGCCATATCGAGCATTGAGAGCATTCTCGTTGTGGATGCTGGAGTCCATGAGAAGGCGCGGATTGTCACTATGCCGGTCAGGGATTCAATGAAGTGCGTGTAGAGAGGGCTCTTGAGTTCTATCCTAGAAGTGGATTGATTTTAGTGAGATGAAGAAATCATAAAGTATGAGAGAGTCACGTTAAGGCAAGAATGGGCACAAAAGGATGAAACGTACTCGAGTAACCGCAATTGGCGAGATGTGCGCAGATAAGACCTCTGAATCAGGACCAAAATCCCGAGTAGGACTGGCATGACCGCTGCCAGATAAGGCAATGACGCTATGGCGATGGCGCCTTGAGAAAGGGCCCCGAAAAGCTCTTTTAAGCCGGACACGTCAGATGCTAAGACTCTTCTTGTCATTCATTATGTACTTACGGAAGCCTGTCGAGATGAAGCCGCGAGGCAGGATCATGTCGACCAGCCTCATGTCTTGGCTGAAGCGGGTGACGAGGTCTCCAGTCCCAACATTAGACAAGAAGTATAAAGGAGCACTCGGATTTGTTAGCCGCGCATTATCCCATCATGACTATTGTAAGCGACTGTCAACACTCACCTCATACAAGCGCGGAGCACGGTATGATGTAGATTCTTAGACGCAGCTGGGACAATGATGACCCATGTCCAGCTGACCAGTAGTGAGCTTTAAGTCAGCACACGGCGAGAACGAACAAATGGTGATTAAAACTAACAATACAGCGAGGGCAAGGGCGCCTGCTTCAATAACAGCCAATGCTCCATACAGACCGAGCCAGTAGCTCAAGCGGGAGTTCAAGGCGCTAGCACTACTAGACGACCAGAGTTCCACCCAAATGTCTATACAAAGGTAAGCCTCAAGTCACAATGGTCACCAGCACAAGATGAGATCATGGCGTACAACGGAGTCCATTAATACCACTATCGACGACAAGAAAAAAAAGTAACACCGTGACTCGCAGCCAGCCCAGAGCAGAGAAGTAGTATTTGTAAACAGCTATATCTGTTGTCTGCCGACGACTACCGAGGGGGGATGGCGCGCTGAGAGGGCCTTTTGTGATCTTCGGTGGCTCCCATCGGTCATTGTCACTGTTGGCCGTCTCCTCAACCTCATCCATCTGCTTTGATTGAATTTCAAGTCCCTGGATGTAGCCCCCGGTGTGACTTCGGAGTTGGGGATAATTCCCCTGTTCGAGAACCTGGCCGTTATCCCCCAGAACAATAATGAGGTCGGCTTGTGGTAAGTAATTGGCTAAGCAGGAATTAGCACGAGTTCAACTCTGGGATGATCCGAGCTAGAAGATGGGGGATCTACATACTACCGTGGGTGGCCAGAAATATAGTACAACCCAATCGACGCAGTAACCCAGCCGGGCCGAGGACGTTGTTGAACACTAGCCGCGCGGTCGCGTTATCCAGACCGCTCAGGACATCGTCAAAGCAGGCGATATGTTTGCGAGCATAGACGGCTCGCGCGATAGCCTGGAACAACAGAAGTAAGCTACAAGGGTTCTAGCCAAATTGCCATACTCCTGGCCAACTGGAATCATACTGGAAACGTGGGTACTCACAATCCTTTGTTTTTGCCCACCACTTAATTTAGCACCATTGCTACCCACAAGCGTTTCGTCGCCCGCCGGCATCCTCTTGAGGTCCAGATCCAGCCCACATGCTGTCACCACAGTGGAATACCATTTAGCATCGAACGCAGATAGCGGGCTCTCACCGATAATGTTATCCCGGATTGATCCATTAGCCAACCACGGTGTCTGTTCGCAAAAGGCCAGGTCCAGATACTTGATAAACAGCTTGCCCTGCAGGACAGGCGTCTCACCAGCAAGGCCTTTCAAGAAGGTGGACTTACCGCTGCCTACTGGGCCGACAATCGCGACAAGATTACCAGTGGGAGAGGACTGGAGGGTGAGTGTAATGCAGGTTCTATTTGGTGGAGAGGCACTCCACCCAAAGTTGACATTCTCCATAGATAGAATTATGTCTCTTTGATTCTCAGGAAGAGTACGAGAGACGAGTTGTGGAAGCGGGTATAGCTCGATGCCCGGCAAATTTGTGGATTGAGTGGAGGGACTTGGTACAAACTGGGGAAACTGCCTTACATCTGTGCATCAGATGATATTAGTTGGTTCTTGCTACTTTGATACTCACTGCGACTGGAACGTAGCCGAACGACTCTGTATGGGAAAATGGGTAGAGAGCACTCACCATGACGATTTGGTTGACTAAGAAAGTTTTGTATCCGATGCAGACAGGCTATCGATGCAAATGTGTCTGGAATCGCCAACAAGAGACTGCAGAGCGGAGTGATCAGCAGGTTGATCAGAGACAGCGATGTGATAGCCTGTGAGACAGAGAGATTGCCAGAGCCCTGCACCTTAGCTACTATAGCATAGCCAGCAAATGTTGAGAGCTGCCCGACAATTGGTGGAAGGTTGACTGGAACCCTGTGTTAGCTCATTCGTGGCTTATCTAACCTATTCTTGGAGGAATAACGGACTCATGCAGACACGAACCGTCTGGACCCGGCGGAATTTCTTAGAAATATTGAGCTCGTCCACACGCAGGGCATTTATCATTGTTGCCATGGCCTCGGTCAATCCGAGAAGCTTGACGCTTCGAATAGATCCGAGGACACTAGTGGTGAAGTTGATGCGCTTCTCCATAGCCTGGAGCCATGTTTTCTGCCGAGTAGTCACAGCATTTCCCATGCAAAACGAAATGACCGTGAAGACTATCCGTGCATGTCAGAATATAGTCTCCGTGACGCATGGATTGCGCGGACGGGCAAGCTTACCTATTACTACCACCACGGGCGCGATACAGACAGGGCCAACCTCAGTTTTAAGAAACCACGTGGCCAGGCCCAGTTGTATGACATTGGCCCACGTTTCAGACACTGTCGACTGGAAGTATTCGGCAAGCATCTCTATGTCAGAGCCCATAAGGGACATGGCGCTGGACTCCTCGGTGCTACCCAGAGGGAGATTCATCATGTGCTGATAGACAAGAACCATAAGACCACCACGGAGCATAGTCGTAGCGCGATACCCCAAATGCTGGTAAGAGGATCTGGACACCTAAACAAAACGATGAGTGCACCATGAGCAAGCGGAGTAAAAAAGGGGGATGAGAGCGGCCAGAAATATGTAGCTTACTGCAATCCCAATAAATACAATGACGGTAGCTCCGATCAAGCCGTAGCCAATATCCAACGAGAGCAAGTCAGTCTGCTGCAGCACAGTGACAATTCTACCTACCAGAAATGGCTGTGCGATGCTGAAACCTACAACACAGAGCCGAGGAAAAGCAATTCTTGCAATTTCCCATCGCAGACAGTTGACGACTGCCAGAAGCAAGGCATTCCGGTGACTCTGGTTGCAGCGCGCCCAGCAGTCTGTAAACCGGGTATACAATTCGCGGGAGGAAAGTTTCTCATGAATAGACGGAAGTGTATCCCCCGTCAGTAGCTCCGAGTACCCTGTCCATAGCAGACCGTTCAACCAGAAGAATAGACCTCGGCTAAATGGTCCGCTCGTGCTCTCACTAGATCTAGTTTTCTCACTCGATACCAGCCATTTTCGCTTTCCAACATTCTCCAGGCCCAGTAAAAGCAGCTTGATGGCGAGGGACAATGACAGGCTGGCCGAGTATGCCCGGGAATCTGGTAACAGCCAGGCCGTACGAACACGTGCAAGGTCCAGAAGCAGCGTGACGAAGAGATAAGCAGATACCAGGAACGATGGCCGGATGGATCGGACGTACTCCAAATCAACTAGTATTACTACGCTCAGCGCGGCCACAAGTTCGAGGATGGTACCCGCAAGCGACACTAGCCTTCCAGCGGCGTGCTGCGTCGTGGCAAGCGCCAGGATGACAATCTGGATTGCGGCCAAGAATGCAGCGAGGACCTATTTTAACTTTTTGCTCAGGATCTAGTTCTGCTCCCATAGACATCAGGGCAAGAATACCTACTAGGATTGCTACACGGATAGCAGACGACTGTACCTTGGGGGACTGTCTCGATAGCTGGAAAATGCGAATAGGCGCCATCAGCAGGAAACAGGCAGCCGGGGCGATAGTTAAGACGCTTGCTTCGAAAACAACTGTAAAGTCGAAGCCTCCGCGACATCCCATCGTACCAACGATCGGGCCAAACCAGCCGTCGTCGCATGTATCGGTCGATGTCATGGGAAATTTTCTGATTGCTGTATCACCAACTTCTATGGATTTATTGCTTGTTCATTCATTAGGCGTCGTGATTTTTTTTGGTGTGGACACAGGTCGACTGATGATGTAGTGTTAGATCAAAGTTGCGAGACGCAAACGGATGGCCAAATCATTTTAACCTGTTGTCGGAAGCCTGGTAACTAAGGCAGATGTAGGGATAGATTGCTAATGCAAGAGTTCGGCAGTGTCACAATCAGGCTTCTACATAAAAATGTTTCCAAGAAGGTAAGTACGAAAGGTGGGCACTACATAGTACATGCTGCTCGGTCTAAAGAAAGGCCGAGTCGTGCGAGTAGTGCATGTGATTGGCTATGGATACGTGACGACATAGCAGTGGAGATAATTGTTAGACTGTACGTTACAATCCAGCACGGTTATAATGATAAATCAACAATATTAGTGGATCAATGACATATTTTCTTGTAATCTTGTGTACTATGATCCTTTCTAGCCCCAATGTGAGGCTTGTATAATGTTGCTTGCCCCACCCTTCGTAATAATCTAACAATAAACCAAGGCCGGTTGTCTATCGCAATGTTTCGAATAGTTTGCCGTTCTACTTGCCCGGGCCCTAGGAAGGCTTCCCCCTCTGGCAAATAAACCAAGGCCGGTTGTCTATCGCAATGTTTCGAATAGTTTGCCGTTCTACTTGCCCGGGCCCTAGGAAGGCTTCCCCCTCTGGCTCTTCGTCGGCGGACGGAAGTCGAACCCAGGGTGTTCCTAAGCCTGCTACTGTATATTTGAATAGGCGTGACATTTACGCAGCTATTGCCCTATAAATTTCCCCTACCGAGTTGAGAGTGAGGTTAGTATCTGGCGTTTCTCGGACGAGATGATCTTCCTTATTAGTGGTTCCAGCACCATTTGTAGTTTTCCTGGAGAGAAATACTGAATTGGGTATCTGGCCACACCATCTGTTCTCTAATATCCTGCTTATTGCACCCCAAATTCTACTGTATTCATGATTGGATCGACACCTAGCGTCCATGCAGGGTTTCAATGAAACCCTACTATCCATCCCTGACATTTGGTGGGGAATAATGCTTACGAGTAGTAAAATAGTAAGACAAGGCGCAAGGTAAGCAAGCCCCAAGCAGAATAAATTAAGAGATAACTATCTGTACCTTCATCCTTCCTATCTAGGTACCGCCTCAGCACCTAAACTAACCTCTGGAATAGGATAACTGTTAGACTTAGAAGCATAAAGAGTTCTTTCTACCAGTCAGGCGCAAAGCCTCTATATATAAACGACTAGTTAGTACAATATACCTAATCAGGATAGAGCAGCCTAAAGTATATAGCCCAGATGAGCGTACATTAGAAGATAATATATGAATATTATAGATCTGCTACTGAGTTTTATACAGAATATTATTAGTCTTTATTGCTGTATCCTAGTCTGTAAAAATCAGTGTTAATTATTTAACCCCTTTTATTGTTATTTTATTTAGCAATAAAGGATTTGATAGTTCTACAAGGACTTGACAAATGTATTCTACCTCTAATAACTATTAGAAACTAGATACAGAATCTCAAAGCGCCCTCCATATTTTCGAAGAACCTATATTGAACAAAGCGTACTCTAGAAGTAGAACATGGTTGGTCTATCATTAGCACCAAACACAGATAGCAGACTCGTCGATAGAAATCTATTAAAGTACGCTCAGGACCACATCCAGCATGAGTTAAGGCACTCTCCTAAGCTTGGCCAACAGCAGAGCCATCGTCACGCTTCTCYTGGTACTTGTCGTAGAAGGCATTGCCAACGGCAGAGCCATCGTCGCGCTTCTCCTGGTACTTGTCGTAGAAGGCATTGCCAACGGCA